GAGGGGGGGGGGGGGGGGGGGGGGTTATCCTCTTTGTTTGGGCACATTAGCATGAAATGATATCACAATTCAAAAACGTTGTGCCAGTTAGCCACTATTTTTGTATGTCCCAAACATGTTTAAGGCTTGATTTGTATTCTGAACCTAGGTATTGATTTATTTATTGCTATATATATGCTGCTATCGGATCCTCTCCCTCCATTTCTTGATCTTCTCCTCTCTTCCCTAGTTCTATTTTTGCTGTCAAAGATTGTACAATTGAGATGTTTTACATTGGTACAGTTGCTTGTGTAAATTGTTATGATATGGTTGTGCTGTGCACCATATTGATCTCCTTGGAGGCAGTTAGTTTAGTAACTTTGCTGCCCTAGTTATGAAACTTTTTCCTGGTGGTATCAAAATACCGCTATGTCGAGATATCTTATCGGTCTCTCCAGGAAAATGGATATGAGTTAGAAAGAACGTGCCAAGGATCCAACAAAAATGACGGATGCTGGGTCTAATTGATTATGATATTGTCTCATGTAGGTATTCTTGGACATGGCAGTGCTGGTAGATGCTCAAGGGGACATGATCAACAACATAGAATCACATGTAAAGAAAACTCATCCTCTCAAGACTCTAATTGTGCTATATATATTTATATGGTTCTTTGGTTGACTTATCTCTGCAGCCCGGTTTCCTCAGGTATCATCTGCAGTAGACCACGTGCAGTCTGGGAATGTTGCTCTTCAGAAGGCAAAAAGTCTACAAAAGAGCTCCAGGAAATGGATGTGCATTGCTATCCTCATTCTTCTTATCATTGTCGCTATCATTGTTGTGGGTGTATTCAAGCCATGGAAGAGCAACAAGGGTGCTTAATTCTTCAAGTATACTATTCAAACCGTTTTCTTATATACAATCTTTACCATTCTTTTCTGGAGTCAAAATTCAGGCGTACATGCAAAATTGTATTTAATTACTTGTATTCTTTTATGCGTATAATGTTTTAATTTGTGAACTACGCACATTCATGGTTTTAATCTCTATTTTGTAAGATTGATTTATCATTCTGGAGATAAATACATTTCTTACTTGGTTCGAATCTCTGTATTTTGTAAGATTGATTTATCATTCTGGAGATAAATATATTTCTTATTTATTATGCATCAATACCCTTGAGTTCATTGTTCAACATCCATCTGATTATGGTCAATAGATCTTAACAAGAAATGTTTGGAATAACCATTTTCAATTCCAAAAAAATTATTTAATCTACTATTTTTGTTTTCAGCTACATGTTAATAGTTATATCAATGATGCAACAGAAGCTGCAAAAAATGCATCGACTATAATGATAAACTAAACAGCCCTTTCATAGGTACAAGCACGAGCCTTAGAACCCGTATAAAGAATTCTTCCCAGGCAACTCGAACATATTTGGTACGTTGAATTGGATAGGAATAAATATCTAACGGACTAGTTAAGTTTTTGCATCTAATCTAGTTCCTCCAGTTTTAACATACCAAAAATGTCCTTTAGACTGTAACTGTTGAAGGACTTCTTCGGAGCCATGATCGTACATATTAACTTGCCAGATGTCACATTCGGCTGAAAATCTCAAAGAACTTCGTCGGAGCCATAACTCGTACATAACCATGTAAAACGCATCATGATCAACCGGTGAAAGGTGCCACTGAAAATGTTCTCTCACCTTCAACACATTCCTTTGTAAAACTAAATAATCTTCAATGCTTATACCTTTAAGAATTTTCTTCAGAAGAGGTATGTCTAATGTGGCAACAACAACTGAAAAACTCTGCCAGTTCAATATGTCCTGAAAAGGAAGATCATAATGGTTGGCTATTATAAGAGGGACACAACCATAGTATAAAGCATCGCCAATACGAGCCGTATTGACTTCAAATCCTTTAACATGAAGGCAAAACTTGCTCGCTAGAAGCTCCTCAGCATACGATGTTTTGAGGTGACCAAAGCGGACAGATATCTCAGCATCATTTCTCCATACTTGAAGAAGCTTTTCACGCACTGGTGAGTTCATTGATCCCGCGAAGAAGGCCAATTTTGTCCTGTATTTATCGAGATTAAGTTGGATATCTTCAGCCCATGTAGTAGAAGCTAGAAGACAACTTATGATTTGGCTTTCACAAGCAGTCTAATATTGTATTTTTAGTTAACTATAAAAGTACAGAGTAGTTATGCTTTACATTTACATTGTGCTCTTCAAAGGAGTAGTTGATATCTCATACAGACCAAATTACAACGACGTAGAAACAAAAGTACTGTGACGGAAACCCACTAAACTCAACTATGTGATGTTTTTACCTTACCAAATTTTAATTTTCTCAAAGACTGCTATTATCAAGAGTAGCGATTGTTAAAACAAATTTGTACATCAATACACAGCTCTTATGTGGGGTGCATATCATTATAAGTCATGCATTTCCAGACAGAAATATAAGACACATAAATTTGCATTTGACTGGAAAACTAGATAGAATTAGAGATAGTTTAGATTGACAAGTTTCACAGATCTCTAGAATAACAATTTTCAGTTTTGTTATATGGAATTTAATTTTCTAGTAATGTCGACAACAATTAAAGTATCGTGAAAGCTTTTCAGATGCCTAAGAAGCAATCTAATTGTTGAGCATATACTATATGAAAGATTGAGGTAATAGATTTAAACATTCTGATTTCATGATTAAGCTAAAACAAAATTAGCGGTTAATGCAATAGAACTGCGAAAAACATAATAGTAGCAGCGTACCTTTCACGAGCAAGATTAGTAGGATCTCCTTGTCTAGGCCAAATTTGTGGCAAGGATGCATCTTTATGAGCAACATACGAAGAGAGGTAATAACTTGACGAGCATACGACTTGTATAGCATTAAGTTTAACTTCAACTGCTTTATCCATTGCTGAACGTCCAATGGAGTGACAAGCAACGTAAAAATGGTCAGCACCTCCAGTTCGATTCCAGTAAGAGTATTGGTGACTAATGTTAAAAATATAATCTCGGATAAAGTCTTGGATACCGTCTATTCCTACTCTCGGGTCATGTCGCAACCTTGCAATTGAAAATGGTAAAAAGAAGAGATTCGCTTCGGAAGGGTCCTTTGTGATGAAATGACTCCTTGTAAGAACCTTCTTAAAGTAACTTTCACTTGCATAATTACCCTCAGGTTCAAAATCCACAGGCAAAAGCACATTGGCAAAAGGATCGTCTCGTCCATGAGGATAAACATAAATCTTTAAGCTCCTATTCATTTCCTTGTAATTATCTAGAAAGGCATCTCTGTCATGAAACAACTTCTTCTCATCATTAACGTATGATCCTGAGCCAACAATTCCACAATCAAAAGGTTACACAATGAAATTCACAAGATGCAAGAATTCATCCCAAATTGAACTAGAGCCATGTCGAATTAGAAAGTCTAGTTCCAAAATAGGGTTCTTCATATCACCATGGATTCGGGCATAAAATATATCTTAGAACAAACCAAAGAATACACGAATTCTGGTCAATTCATGTGCATTAAGAGATACATCATAATCTTTGTACAAATTAAGGTCGCACATTATCTAATGATTCTAATCACTCTGTCACTTCCAAGGCCTCATCAAATTCTAAGCTCAGAAAATTCGTTGTTGAAAGTTTTGTATACCATGAGATACTAGAACATGCAATCTAACGTCAAATTTCACATCTTGAATATGAACTTAAACTCTTAGAATTTAAATTAAACTGCAGTTATCACTCCCTTCATAGTTCATACACATCCTACATTACATTTCCCCACAAGGATCCTTGTTTAGATAGTTTCAAAAACTGGATATTATCATTCCTTCTGTATCAACCGCCTATTCAACAATTTACCCATTAAAAACAAAACAAATTCCATATCTTATGGACATTTTACATCAAACGAAATAGGAGAACAAGCTGATAATGAGAATATAGCAATCTACATGCCCCTTCTACTAACAAAAGATAATCAATAAAAAATTACTTTCTCAATTGAATTGTCAAATAAGCCTTCATCGAAACTCTACCAAATTCTTTATTGGCTATCATTTATCAATTACAGAAACATTTATTACACTTAAAATGAGTAAAATTCAAGAATCAAGAAAAACCCATAAGGCTCAAAACTTTACCTACCAGCTGAGGCCAGGCGATTTTTGAATTTCTCTTGACCATCGGTTTCTCCAAGAACACCGCCATTTCTGCTCTTAACAACAGGTTCAGGAGGGGCCAAGGTGGAAATTTCAGGTGGGTTTTCAAGAATTATTGAAGGCCCAATTGGAGGGTGGGTGAGATGAAGACGGTGTGGATGAATGAAGAAAAGATTGGAAGTGAAGGAAATATAAAGGAGTATGAGGAGAGAAGTGGCCAGAGCTAAGGTTGTGGGTACGAGAAAGAAGAAGGATTTGATTGTTTGTGAGCGAGAATTGGAGTCACGGCGGCGAGTGAGTACAGTTTGGAGCAGGAACAAGGAAGAACTGGCCATTTCTTGCTATTTGATTATGTACAAGCAATTTTAGAAGGTACACAATTTATGGTATTCAACCTCAACCAGGTTGTCTTGTTTCAGTGTTTTGTGTTGGAGGTGCGGGTAGGTTGGGGAGTCAACGGCAATATGACATGGACTCGCTAGAATTTTTTTTACATAC